AATTCTTCTAGAGTTTTGTCTGTGTTTTCCTTGGTCTGTCTCTCAATCCTTTGAAGATACCTAAATATAATTCTTTTGAATTCCTTATCAGGGCGTTCCAGTGCTTCGATTTCCTCAGGGATGTGTTTTGGGTCTGTATCCTGGTCCCTTGTTTCTCCTGCTTTATCTTGCTTCTTTGTGTGGACTGTGATGCTTTGTTGTGTCCGAGGCATTGTGATGTTTTTGTGTTTATATTTAATTGGTGATTGTATGTTGGAGTGACTTGCATACAATTTTCATTTTCTTTGTTTTGTTTGTATGTTATCTATACAGGCAGGGTACTGTGCTGTGCTCCTCTATTCACTAGTTGACAGCACTTATATACTTACCACCTGTCTCCTTTCCTTTGTCAGCCTCTCATATGTTCCTGCTGAACCTGGTAAACAGAGCCTGTTCTTAGGTCTCTGGAATCCGAATGAGAATCACTTTAAAATCCAGAATGGTTGCTACTTGTAAACATTCAAAATGGCTGTGCCCTCGGTCACTTTAAATATACAAAATGGCTGCAACGTGCAAACAATCAAAATGGCTGTGCCCTCCGGACAGCAGAAAGTCCACAGCTTAGGTTGTCTCCCTCCTTGCTGTTTCCCTTCCTAGTCATAGGCCACCAGAGCAGTTGTCCCTGCAGCCCTTGGTGACTGGGACTGATATTTAGGTCAATTCCCTGGTCCTAACACCACTTGGAAATATTCAGGCTGTAGGTCTCGTCAGAGTAGCTGACAGTCCACAGCTCCGACCATCTCTGTACTCACTATTTTGTTCAAGTTTTTCCACTAGTTGATGCCTGATCCACTTCTGTATAGTTCCTTTCAAAGCTCAGGGTTCCAGGATTATCTTCTGTATCTCTGTCAATTGGCTTTTCTTTTCTTTGTTGAAGAAGATCTGTGTCTCTTGTCTTCCTATTCCTCCATCTTACCGGCACTCTATCAACAGTCATCTTCGTTTTTTTGTATGTGGTGTTCAGTTTCTCCACACTATTTGCTGAAAAGACTTCTTTAACCATTGAATTACTTTAGCATTCCTATTGAAAATCAATTGTAAACATGAGAGTTTATTGATTGATTTCTGGATTCTTAATTCTGTTTCATACATCTGTATTTCTAACATTATGCATGTGAATTATTTTCTCTTTTTAAGAATTATTAATTTGTATGGGTCTTTTTTATTTTCCTGTATGTTATATATATTATGACTGTTTTCGCCAATATATCTCTCAACTTTAGTTTATACTGTCAAATACTGTATAGGTGTTTTACATTTTTATTTGGTCAGCTTTATTAATCCTTTTCTTTTTAGTGATTTCTAGATAGAAAATCTTTACAGTGCCAGAAAGAGCCTTGGTGGCACTGTGGTTACGTACTTCACTGCTAACCGAAAGGTTTGTGGTTCAAACTCAACTGCTCCACAGGAGAAAGATGTGTCTTCTTCCATAAAGATTACAGCCTTGGAAATTGTATTTGGCAGTTCTGCTCTGTCCTGTAGATTTCTATGAGTTGAAATCAAAGGAGTACTGGTGACACAGTGGTTAAATGCTTGGCTGCTAGCCAAAAAGTCGTCAGTTCAAATTCACTGGCTGCTCTGTGGGAGAAAGATGTAGTAGTGTGCTCCCATAACAATGTACAGCTTTTGAAACCCTGTGGGGCTGGCTGTTCTACCCCCCATTGCCATCAAGTCAATTTCAACGTTGAGATTAGGGGAAAAAGTCTCTTAAAAAGAAGTGGAAATCTTAAATTTTTAAAATGTTAGCTTTTTAATTCATCTGGAAAGTATTTTAGTGTTAAGTGTGAGATATGCTATAGAAATTTTATCTGTGTGTGAAATTATTCATTGGCAGAAAAATTGTGTTTCTTCATAGTTACAGTCACAAATAAAAATATTATAAACATGAAATCTACCCTAATGTACGTATGAGAAAGTGATTTATAGTTTTGAAATTTCATAGCATGGAAGTGTGAGTATTTTGCCTGTTAGCTTGCAGTCTGGATAGATTAAAAGAATTTGTGGTCCCATGATCAATTTGACTGACTCAGATTCTTGTTCATCTTATGCAAGCGAGAGAAGCTAGACTCAGTGGGATGCTTTGTTAGGCACTAAAAAGTTTCTCGGTTATTCTGTAGCATATGCCTATTTTATAGGTTTGATCATCTTCACTACTCTTCAGTTGGGGAAGGGAAACCACTTCCTTTATGTTTTGAATTGATTTTGCAGGTTTGTTATAATTCATACTTATCCTCTTGTTATTTTGAAAATAGAATGGGTATTACAATTGTGAACATAAGCATTTGAATTTGAAGGGACATGCATACTTTTACTTAACACTGCTAATTTTAACACCTAGGACTGATTACATTTGTGTGTATTACATAGCACTATAAATATCAGAAAAGAGTATGTTTATGAAAAGGTTAAAATAAATTTCTTTTGTAATTAGTATAAAACAACTTCGAGAGTGATTTAATTTGGAATGTTTTAATAAAACCTAGGCTTGCTAAAAAGTACATTTTCTTGGGAAAATTTAGGTAAGGTTTTATTTCTATTTTAACTGTATATGTGATTGAGTAATTTGGTTCAAACAAAGCAACTTGTTTATACAAAGAGGGATAATTTTTTTCTTTTCTCTCCTTAGGATAGCAGTGAGATTCACTTCAAGGTGAAAATGACAACACATCTCAAGAAACTCAAAGAATCATACTGTCAAAGACAGGTTTGTCTCTTATGATATTAAATACAATGCTTTATCATTAGTTTTTCTTTAAGGAAGGCTGAAAAGAAAAATTCATTGTAGTATTCTCACCATTAGCAACTCAAGGAGAATACTCTTTTTTCTTTTTTTAAATCATTCCTTTTACCCAGTATAATTGCCCTCTTATCCCTGAAGTCAGTTTCAAAGTTTGAATTTGTAAAATACATGGAACAGTTTGAAAAGTAGCTTAAGAATGCAAAGAGAACTATAGGTGAATGTTTTTATCTCGATGGTTCACCCGTGTATGTAACAATAAAGGAAAATTTTTTTTAGTGATCACAATAAAATTTCTTTGTATGCAACTGTTGGTCTCTTCTCATCTGAAGCAAAGAAGAATGAGGAAAATCTAAGCCATTTGGAAACAATTAGTTCAACAATGTGATGGATCTCAAAACCAGAAGAACTAAATGGTGCCCGGCTACCAATGCCAACCACTCGGGAAGGTGTCAAAACTGGACATCCTGGATAGATTGGGAGGAAAAATGTGGAACAAAATTCAAAACCACAAAAATGACCCTTGTTGGATAGGGTCTGGTGGAGCCCCTAAGACTATGGCCCTGGGAAACCCTTCAGGCGTAGGATTGGACTCACTCCCAAGGATTGGCTCCCAGCCCAACAGTGGAAAGACTTACGTGCAGAACACCCACCCCAGGGTGATGCACCCATCTACTGTGGGGAGATACACCAATTGCCATGGGGCACCAGAGGGGCAGCATTCACATGGAGCGAAAGCTAGGCAGAGTTAAGGGCACAGGGAGGGGGTGGTCACAGGGATGGGAGGGGAGGAGAGTGCGTTATGGTCAGGATAGTAATCGGGGCATAAATTCAATTGTACATGAACTGTTGAATGTAAAACAAATTTTGCTCTGTAAATTTGCATCGAAAGCATAATGAAAAAAAAAAAGAAATTTGTGTTTCTAATCATGAACATTTAGCATTATGTTAAATTTGGTGATTGTATTAATTTATATCTTTATATATAGTACCACAGGTTACTACTCCTGCTTGAATTCCATATTTTCAATATCAAGAGATTTTATTTAAATCTTGTAGCAATCTGGTAAGTTTATTAAACTGTCCATTCAAATTTGGTCTACAACACTGGCTGTGGGACCTTGAGTAAGTTATTTTAACCTCTGTGGGCCTTGTTTCCTCATTAGTAAAATAGGAATTATACAGTGTGTATCTCATGAAGGTTGAATATATAAGACCTATATAAAGGTCTTAACATTGTGTCTATAAAGTGCTCAGTAGATGTTACCCATATTACCATTATTAATAAACTGGATTTTTTTTTTTTTTTTTAAGAAATGTAACTGGAATTAGTATAGATGAGGCAACCATGATACCTTTTTTTTTTTTTAAAGTTTTTATTGTTATTTGGGTGAAAGTTTACAGAACAAATTCAGTGTCCATACAGCAGTTCACATACACTTTTGTCTCATGACATTGACTGCAATTTCCCACAATGTAACAGCTCTCTTCCCCCTTCCTCCCCATTATTACCTCTTCCCTGGCTCCTTCTCTCTGTGTCCTCATGCCCCCCCAAGCTGTCTCCCTGTGCATAAATAGCTCTTCTGTTCTCCCATGATTGATCTCTGAAGAGTGTGTCTGCCTAGTGTAAATGTTCAGCTCATATGTCTGTCTTTGGCTGGAAGCCACAGACAGTTCAGGGTTCAGTTCAGGGTTCAGTTCCAGACCTGAAGAGCACCTAGGGGCCATAGTCTTAGTGGTTCCACCAGGCTCTGTCACACCAGCAAATCTGATCCCTTTTTTCCTTTTTTTTTTTCTTTAAATGATTTTGAGTTTTGTTCCACATTGTTCTCCCAATCTATCCAGAATCTCCTACAAAGATCCCCCTCCGAGTGGTTGACTATGGTAGCCAGGCACCATCTAGTTCTTCTGGTCTCATAGTCATATAGGCTGAGGATCTCATGTGTATCAGTTGCTTGGACTAATTGTTTCCATGCATCTTTGCTTTTCTTCATTCTTCTTTGCTCTGGATGAGGAGAGACCCATCATTGCATCTAGATGGCTGCTTGCAAGCTTTTAAGATCCCAGTTGCTACTCACCAAAGTAGAATGTGGAACCTTGTTTTTGTGTATTCTGTTATGCCAATTGAGCTTGATGCCCCCTGCAACCATGGTCCTGAGCCCACAGATCCAACTACTTGCTCCCTCTGGGTAGCTGGCTATGGCCAAGAAGTAACTACAACCTTGTTCCCTGTCAGCTCTACTACATACCTGGGCATTCTTACAGAACATACAAATACACTTGTAGAAACATTGTCTGCCAACCCTATACATAGTCATGGGCACACTCCCCCATGCATAGTTCAGCTTGTCCACCCATCTATCCACCTGTCTATCAGTGTTTGCCTTCATTGACAGCACAATACTGTATGTGCAAAAGGATTCATCTTTGTTGTCTGTACCTCCCATGTACCTCTCTATGTCTTCCTCAATGTCACTGTGTTGATCACTCACATGTGGTACATTGCCCTTCTCTTCACCCAAATCAATACTTTACCTATCTAACGGTGTTCCTTCCCACACCTGGTAACTAGCAAAGAAAACTCCCTTCTATATATAAACCTTTTCTTGACTTTTACAAAAACGGACTAATACAATATTTGTCCTTCTGTGATTGACTTATTTCACTCAGCATAATGTCCTCCAAGTTCATCCACATTTTATGATGTTTTGCGGATTCTACGCTATTCTTTAGGGTTTGCATAGTATTCTGTTGTGTGCATGTACCATAATTTGGTTATCCAGTTTTCTTTTGATGAACACCTAGTTTGTTTCCATCTTTTTGCTGTTGTAAATAGTGCTGCGATCAGCATGGGCGTGCATGTATCTGTTCTTGTCCTGGCTCTCACTTCTTTAGGATATATATCTAGTAATGGAATTGCTGGGTCAAATGGTATTTCTAATTCCAGCTTTTTAAGGACTCGCCATACTGTGGTTGTATCATTTGACAGTCCCACCAGCAGTGTATGAGAGTCCCAATCTCTTAACATCGTTGCCAGCATTTGTTATTTTCTGTCTTGTTTTACTTTGCTGGTGCTGGGACAGTACAAGTACATTTTTAAAAATAAAATTTATTTCAATAGTTGCTCCTTATTAAAATATAGTCATACTAACCAGTTGCTTGTTGGCTGTGCGTCAGAGTAGAACTGTGCTCCACAGAGTTTTCAATGGCTATTTTTAAAATCTCTCCAGGCCTTTCATTAATCACACTGTTGTTGTTGTTGTTTGCCATGAGTCGGCCCTGACTCGGCCCTGACTCATAGCGACCCCTCCTTGGGTTTCCAGGCAGTATCACTACGGAAGTAGGATTGCCCAACTTTCCTTCCTTCTGGTAAACAGTCAAGTGCCTTAGGCACTATGCTACCAGAGCTCCTACATGATACTAAATAAGGTATCATAGTGTTATTTTCAGAAAGCTTGTTTTCTGTAGTTGAACTTTGTAACTCATATAAAATCACTTTTGCCAGGAGATTTTTTTTAAAAAAATTGGTTTCTGTAGAAGAGTTTTGACCCCAACACAAGGCTAATATTTCTTTAAAAAAAGAAAATTGAAATTAAAACATATTCAACCTTTGTCAGTTTATGCTTAATTATTTAATAATTAACTCTGGAAAGAAATTAAGTCAGTTTGCATGATCTCATATACTTATGTAAAAATACATATTGAAAATAGAAACAAACCAAACCCACTGCCGTTGAGTCGACTCCAACTCATAGCGACCCTGTAAGACGGAGTAGAACTGCCTTAGGGTTTCCAGAGGAGCTCAGGTAGTGTAGTGCCTAAGGCACTTAACTGCTAACCGGAAGGCTGGTGGTTCAAACCCATCAGCCACTCCTTGGAAGGAAGGTCTACTTCTGTAGTGATACCGCCTCAGAAACCCAAGGAGGGGTCACTGTGAGTTGGGTTTGACTTGAGGGCACATAATAACAACAGCTCTGGTAGCATAGTGGCTAAGTCACTTGCCTGCTAACCAGAAGGCTGACGGTTCAAACCCACCAGCCACTCCTC